TTTCCCAAGTAGCCCAATTCTCACTCCGTTAAGTGTTCTTTTCCGTTCTGTACTTGTTTCTTCCGTTTTTCCGTTTCAAATACAATGATAGTTAAGAATTAATTGCTTAGGTGTAATTAATTGCTCATATTCCATTCATTTTTTTGTAATTGATAATTGAATATACGGGCCTAATTGATTAGTAAAGTAAACTCACACATTCATAGAATAACCATCAATCAATGAACAAAAATAGTATTTTAATCAAATTCTACGATAAGTATACGAGCAACAATAGTATAAATTAAATTAATGTTATATAATATCAAAAGATGGAAAGTACAAATATTGAATAATGAAATCAAGAATATATTTAAAATATAATTAAGATTATACTATATATATTTTTTCTTAAAGTCTACAGTCTACTACGTATATTATAACATAGTTAAAGAATCCATAAGAAGTTTGTAATTGTATTTTGTAATTTGGATAGATTTGGATTGCTTAGTTGGGAATTTATATGTATAATACACTAATAGATCAAAATGTATGCATTATTAGTAGTAGTGGAAGAGAATTCCTATGAGATGATTAAGTGGGTTGTACTCTTGGACAACACTCGGCAGTAGTTTTAGGATGTTTAATTTTTAGTTGAGTAGAATATTGTTTCCTTGTGTTTGTTTTTGTTGATAACTTTTTTTGTTTTTGTTTTTTTATTGTTTCACCATGTTTAATTTCTGGTTGTTCCTAATATTCATAATTCAAAACTTATTAATTTAGGTGTTCATATATATATATTTTTTTATTAGGTGTTCATATATATATACAAGGTACTGCATACAAATCAAAGCATAGATAAAAAATAAACAATAACATAAATAGAAAAGCTTTAGTTCAAAAAATCAATAAAAAGCAACATTATGTAACAAACAACAACAACAACAAGATGCAACAAAAAGCAACATGGTACAACAAAAAGCAACAAAGTGCAACAAAAAGTAACACACAATGCAACAAAAAGAAACAAAAATCTACAAAAGCATTACAATAAATATATAATGAATCTATTATTTCAACGCCATTACAAGTAAACATATGCTCACGATGCAGAGAGAGCATAAAAATATTTCAACGCCATTATAAGTAAACATATGTGAAGTCAACAATTAAATGGCTGGTACAAGTGTATATATATTAGCAACAAATAGACACTTATTGGACGGTTTTTAGTCCCAGATCAGACCAGACCAGGTTAGGTTACAGGTTTTCATTAGCCAGTTCACTCATACTTGGTGCTCTATTCATAAATCTAGCACAATAACACTACTACGACTGTATACCAAACCACTATTCAAATCACACGTTATATCTAGCACAATAACACTACTACTTTGCTTATCACACTTTCTATTCAAGTATACATGTATGCCTGTCATGCATGTGTTTCTAACATAATATAATGGAATTGTTTTATCAATGCACACTTTTGTCTTATCTAGGAGTTGAACCATGCATGCCAATCAAAACGTTCTACTTTATGGTCATCTTCTTGTCTGATCTTCAAATTATTAGGTTCTTGAATAATTTTTACTTTCCAAAACTTAGGATTACAAATTTGCCCGATTGTTAAGGAGGGAAAGAGATGATATAAAGAACACGACCATTGGGTGAAGGGAGTAATATAGTGCAATTTAAAATTTAGAATGTTAGTGTTTGTAACCATTTGATCATGTATGTTCACATTCATTGCCCCGTATGAATCTCATGGACGCTGGATGGGTAGGATTTTTATTTTCACTTTGTTGATGTTGACACGCATTCTAAGTTTTAAATATGTTGTTGTTTTTCGTACATGTAATAGAACTAAAATGAAGACAAAGTTTATACCCTTTGAAATCATACTATATTCGATCCACTAAATTTTCACCCTTAAAGTTTGACATTGTAACACACTAAATAATCATCTATTGCAAAAATTAATATCTGCACATAAATTGAAATTGAGCATTATCCTATCGAGCATCGCGCGTTACAATAACTAGTATCAATATAATCATCTTTTGTCCGATGTCGAGATGTCCTCATATTTTAGCATACACTCTAATATAAACCATGCTAACATGTCCTCTCCCGACCATCTTACGTACTCTCAAATTCTAAACCCACTTAACCACCCACCTATCTCGATCAATTACTCCCAATTATCAACTATATTTAAAAAGATATTCATAAATCATGTCCATATTGCTAACCCGATTACACCAACCATCAACCATGATATCTTTAAGAAAAAGTTTCCTAAATTAGCATGAATGCAATATAACACGTTACCTCAAATAGGATTGTCATTACTTTCTTCTCAATACATAACTTATTCTCTCCTATATGAGGAAGATTGTATGTTTTATTTTCCAATGTGGCAAAATACTACCTATTTATTTTGGGAATTATAAAACATATTTAGTCACATGTTTTTAACTTTATACATATATTTTTTAACGAGATGTATGGACAACTCTATAAAAGATGAAGAGGCTGATGACAAATATGAAGATCGAATACAAGAACCATGATAGGACTCATGGAACCATACAATATATCTACAACTTAACGAAGAATAAATAAATTGATTATAGAGAAAGTCATATAACAAGACTCAAAAGAAGGGGAAAAAAGAAGAAGAAGAAAAAAAAGAGAGTAATATTCATTCTTGATGATCGTACAAATTGTGATCGTGAGAAGTCTTGCTCCCTATTGGGATGCTTTTACTTTGGACCGTTCAGTCCCAGACGAGATCTGACTTAAACATATCACACCAGACCAGATCTGACTTAATCAGACTAGACCAGACTTCCTTCGTTATAAAATACAAAGAGATCAGACATGCATCGGACCAAATCAGACCAGACCAGTTCAGACCAGATTTAAACAGACCAGACCAACAAATTACAGTTGTTAAGTAAAACATCATTCGATTAGTAAGAAATCCAATATAGATAAATTAAGAGCTTGTGCCAAAAATACATTTGTTATGACCTACTACGTATAGTAAAATTTGATGGTGGTCATTCTCATTGTTCATCGGTTCCTAATTAATGTCACTATTGTGGTTTAGCCGGTCAATATATAGGAAAAACGACTACACGAGTAAAAATAGGCGTGTGGTATTATGTTACTATAAGATGAACAAATGCGAATAGCATAGGCCGGATATGGTTGCCAACTAATCTAACATCAAACCTTATCTTATAATTTAGCTCACCAAAAAATACTTCTCCTTCCGTGTGCTCGCGCCATTCTTGCTGCCGGCTTTTATAAATTTTCTCACGAACCGACCATTTATATGTCATTGTCACTAAATTTTGAAGTGGATAAGGTTACACCAGTCAAATAGCTTAGTCGGCGTCTTTTACGAATCTCTCTCTTTTCTGACGTTGATACTCACACATCGACGGTTCTAGAACTATTTCAGCCCCAGACTACACTTCTTACATAGGTAAGATCCGATTTAAATAGATCAAACCAGACGATACTTCGATAGCTGTAAAATACATATATATCATACATCTACGATCGAGGAGTGACAGGGACAGAATTGACAACTTACGTGGGTCGGAGATTAAAAGGGGATTCGACTTAGCACCCCACATTTTGGATTATATTGAACCTTACACCCCATTTTCAAAAAACTTTGACCTTTTGGTAGAGAAACCTACATATATTGAACTTTTAGTACAAAGTCAAAGTTTTTTCAAAATAGGGAGTCAAATCCTTTATTTATCATAGCAAATATACATTTTTTGTACGTAGCCTAAAATTGCTTAAACAATAGGGCTTGTTTTAATTCGATGTATGCTAACAAGTTGTACTTATTATTTACAGCTTTGCTTTCTAATTTATGTAGGTTTGTTCTACTATAGAGTACTCTGTATGACTTTGTGAGATAAGAAGAGGTAAAATGGTAAAGGACAGCTTAATTCATATGCTTTCTAATCTGCATGCAAAAGAAATTGTGTGTTGAGTCTCCTTTTTTTTTTAATGCAAATCGTGATTTCTGATCTACTTTCGTAAAGTCCCATTAATGATACGGAGTACGATTTATCAACTCAATCCTCACGACCTCGTGTTATGTTTTAAATACTCTCGTATTTTAAAAAAAAAAAAACTCATGTACGGAGTATTAATTACTCAAGAAAAAAGAATCATAAATAAATGGATTTGTAGCCTCTACCTTGCTTTAATTTAAGGCAAAGTATGGTATCTTGCTTCTGCACAATTGTCTGATCGAAAATTCAAGAGCGGGAGATGTAACGTAGGGTCCTTTCTTTTGGTGATCTCGAGATCGTCCTCATCGCTCTCCTGCCACCCAATGCAACTGCAAGGCACTTTAATTTGCCGTGCGGTAGAGGATCCTGGTCTTAAAATAATGGCCTACTAGTGAAGAATTGTGGTTGAATTGATTGAAGTTATTGTGAAACTATTGTAGAAACTCGTTTTAACTACTTTTTCGTATACATATTTCTTTATTTAATTACTCCGTAATAAAATATATTTTATAAGGAAAATCACATTTTTTATCCTTCAAATAGTACATGCACACATTCAAGTGTGTAAATAGTACAACTGCCCGAATTGTTGTAAATGAGATTCTCAACAACATTAAACATGACACTCTCAAATGGTCACATTTATAAATTTGAGACATTTGAGGAGTCACATTTACACATTGAAAGCACAAAAAAGTGCATTCCAATGTGAGGACTTTTTAGAGATTGAAAATGCATTTTTCCTTTTGAATCTAATTTTGAAACTAGCATTTTATCAATTTTTTGCTCACACGACTTCTTTCTCACAAGATCGGCTCGACTTCTTTTTTCGAAAATCCAAAAAATGAATAAGTTTGTATTTTACATAAACCCAATTAGACAATGCCAAAAAAATGTCTAAAACCATCACTGTCACTTTGTACTCCGTATCTCTTTAGCTAACGTGCCATTTCTATATAAATAATCACCGATACAAGCTCAAACTATTCAATAAAATAATCATTCTCCCCTATCCCCATTATATTCAATTCCATATAATCTACCTTTTAATTCATTTTGTTACAATCCTAGCCGGCAGGCATGAAGATTTTGGCGGCTCTCCTCCTATGCATGGCGGCGGCGGCCGCCGACGGGTACATGCTTTACAAGGATCCCAGAAGAAATACAGAGTCTCGGGTCAGAGATTTGCTGCGGCGGATGACGGTGGAGGAGAAGGTGGGGCAAATGACGCAGGTTGACCGGGGGAACGTTACGGAGGAGATTATGAGGGACTACTCCATCGGGAGCGTGCTGAGCGGCGGCGGAAGCGTGCCGAGGGAAAAGGCCACGGCGGCGGAATGGGTGGAGATGGTGAACCGGTTTCAGAACGGTTCGCTGTCGAGCCGGCTCGGCATTCCGATGATATATGGGATAGACGCTATCCATGGGAACAACAATGCCTACAAGTCTACTATTTTCCCTCACAATGTTGGGCTTGGTGCTACAAGGCAAGTACTATATACTTTTTCCTTCAAGCCCAAAGTATGATTTGTGTTTCAGGTTTGGCATTTTTTTAAATGAATTGTACGTGAAAGTGAAAAAAAATTAACATTTTTTCAAACTAGTTTTAATGTTTTAACGGGTAATTTGGCTTTATAATGCAAAAGTTATCAATGGCACAAATAAATTGGACGTCTATAAGAGTGTGTACATAATGTAGTTATGTACACTAAAATTTGCACATATTGTTTGTTTACCTAAAATGAAATTTTAAAATACGGATTCAATATGTAGGAGTAATTTTTTGAAACTCTCTTCAATCATTATATATTCAATTTATAATCAAACATTTAAATATCCTAAAGCCATTGTATATCTTTAAAATTGAGACATTTGTGTCTTGGTAGCAAGGTGGTACTAAGGGTAGAGGTAGGGGACTACCTCTAAATTTCAAGAAATCCTTTAATTACTAGGACCTGAAATTTTCCCTTTCCATTGTATTAAAAAAGAAAAATTGTACCGGCTCAATCCAATATACTCGTATAACCTTTGTCTAAAAACCTCCTTATTTGATTTTTTTTAACTAATCAACTGTTTTAGTTCTGTATTTTTCGAAATCTTAAATTTCTAGCACATGCAAACTTTTTTGTTTTTTATTGTGAAACTTTTTGTAATTGAATTTTAATAATATTAAGGTTCTTTGATTTTTCATGACCCCGGACCCACCGGTTCCATAAAATTTCACAACCAGCCATTGATGCAAGAAAACAAATTGTATGTTTCACGACTCTTGATCAATTTCAGTGAAACGTGATACTGCTTATATAAGGAGACCTTTCAACCAAAAAGAAGGCCTTTGGATAATAATTGGGCCGGATACAAACGTTCTCCCTATTTGTTACACATATACTCCATTATAGAGTCCTATATCATATGTGGCACGTTCATTATCATTCATATATGTAATGAGGTCCTTCATTATAAATCACTTTTTAAAATAAATGATTATCAAGAAAACACATAATATGCATATATGGCTTCATAGTGGAGTCATATACTCTCTAAATTAGATAAAATAAAAAAGATCCATAGTCAGTTTGGTAACACTGAAATTCATTAAATTGATTGAATTTGTTGAAATTAATGGAATTATAGATTATAGCTGAAATGGTTGAATTTGTTGAGTTATAGAAGAATATATAACACATTATATTGAAAAAACAAAAAGAATAGATGAAAACGGTTAAAATCGTTCTCTACGGTAACTTTGATCAATCTCAGCCAAAAAAGTAACTTCAACCTTATTTAAGTTTATTATCATAAGTGCGTGAAAACAAAAGTTATGCACTTCTCGCGTTCTTTTTTAATTGCAACGCTCCACTTTTCATGTTTGTCAATGCACAAGTTTGATCATTAATACCTTCCATTCCTTTTTAGTAAAAAAAATAAAAAATTCAGATTTTGAAAATTTAGAATGAGAAGAATATAATTGAACAATATTTTCCAAAATTTTAGTTTATAATACATTAATAAATAAAATTATACTCAAAGTAGAATATGTGAATAGTGAAAATTTTCCTATGTTGCTGCTAAAAGAGAACGAAGGTAGTATTTGATAATAAAAAATTAACCCATAGACTGATAAGCTGAAAAAAGAGGTTACCAAACAAACTCTAAGCGATATTCGATATTCCCTCAGTATTTAAAAGATATTCCCTCAGTATATTAGGTATTGGCACAATAGTTAAGGGGGAAATAGTAAAAATAATGAACAGTGTAGGAAAAGTGAGAAAGAAAGTGAAAAACGTAAGAAAGATGTAGGGTTGGATTCGGGCCAGGTCGGGTCTGGGCCGGGCCTAGGCTCGGGACCGGCCCGGGCCTCGGGTTTGGTTTTTTTTTTTTTTTTTGCTTTCCTAAGTATCCCCGACCCCCCCCCCCCCCCCACCCAAACCCCTCCTAAACATCAAGCCCAACCCTGGTGGAACCCAAAAATAATGAAAAACCAAAAAAAAAAATCAATTTGGCCCGAACCGGGGCCGGGCCTCCTTTTCACTGACCCGAGCCTGCCCCGCTTTTGAAAGATAACCAGGCCTTGTACCGGTTTGGGGCCCGCATCCCCGGGCCGGTCCGGTCCCGCACAGTAGCGGGCCGGGCCGGTTACCGGGCCGGGTGGCCCGAACCGAGTCCCGGACTAGAAAGATGAGGTAAAAAGTAGAAAAAATAAGGATAATTGGATGTTTTAAAGGAAAAACTTATCAAAGAGGGAAAATGTAGCATGCTTTCAAATAAATCATAATTAAGAAAATGTAATAAACTTTTAAATACCGGAGGGAGTATTTATTAAGAAAATAGGGAAAACTGTCAAATAGGTCCTCGAACTTTCATAAAAAGATCAATTAAGTCCTTCTATAGGAGGTTATGTCCGGCCGTCGCGATTTAGGACAGTTCCCGGTGGAATTTTTTGATGAAATTTTTTAAGCATCTTATTCACCAAGCCTAGTTTACTCATACCAAATTTCAGCAAAAAATTCAATCGGGAACACATTCAAATTAATTCTTGAAGATAACTGCGCATTTTTGCGTTCTCGAATTAATTTGAATGTGCTCCCGATTAAATTTTTAGCTGAAATTTGGTATGAGTAAACTAGACTTGATGAATAAGATGCTCAAAAAATTTCATAAAAAAATTCCACCGGGAACCGCCCCAAATCGCGACGACCGGATAGAGTCTCCTATAGAAGGACTTAATTGACTTTTTTATGAAAGTTCGAGGACCTATTTGACAGTTTTCCCTAAGAAATATAATTGACGATTCTAAAGGAGACAACATACATTAGATCCGGTCAAATACTTTAAGCGATATCATAAAGAAGAGAAATATTCGGAATTTCCTGACCGGACCCGTCCGACCTCCGACGTTTGGACAGTTCCTGGTTGTATTTTTTGATGAATATTTTTATATGTTCTTTATTAAGTCTAGTTTATCTATACCAAATTTCAGATAAAAATTCAATCAGGAAGACAGTCAAATGATTTTTGGAACTTAACTGTGTTTTATATGTATATAAGGGCGTAGTTAACTTTCAAAAATCATTGGACTGTCTTCCCGGTTGAGTTTTTAATTCAAATTTGATATGGATAAACTAGACTTGATGAGAAATATGCAAAAAAACTTAAGTAAAGAATACCTTTGGAAACCGCCCCAAAAGGCAGAGGCCGGACGGCGTTTCTGTCAGGAAACTCCGGAGACGAACAACACTCTCATAAAGAAAGTACATCAAATCAGCTCAAATACGTTTTTGCGATATGGTAAAAAGGTATCGCAATTGATCGAAGCTATGTAGCACCGATACCGGTACGCAGAAACGCGGAAACGCGGAAACGGGTACGGGGATACGTCAAAACCAAAAAAAGTAGGATACGGATACGGGGCTATATTTATAAATATTAAAAGTTATGGGGGTGTATTTACAAATATTAAAAGTTATAGGGGTCTATTAATAAATATTAAAAATAGATTTTTTTTGAATATATATATATATATATATAATATTTATAAATATTAAAAGTTATGGGGGTGTATTTACAAATATTAAAAGTTATAGGGGTCTATATATATATATATATATATATGATAAGAGATCACATACTAACCATGCTTAAAATACTAATTTACTAACTCAATAATATGCAACACATTGAACTTCAATATGCAGTACAAATAATGTAAAGATGCACACTGTGAATTTCAATATGCAATTAAAACAATATGCAAAACTTTGAACTTTAATATGCAGTACAAATAATATGCAACACTTTGAACTTCAATATGCAGTACAAATAATGTAAAGATGCACCGTTTTTGATAGTTTGTAGGTTAGCATGGGAGGAATGGTTAGTATGTGATCTCACCCCATATATATATATATATATATATATATATATATATATATATATATATATATATAGGGATTAGTTCCTGTGAGAACACCTTCTTAGGAGAGTAAAAAAGAACAAAATCTAGCCTTCCATTAATTGGATCGGATGGTTATTATTTAATCCTAGTTGTCTCTTTCCTCCACTATTGGTGCCTAACGTGTATGTTTAAAATGGAAAGAGTGCAACCATATAATTAATTAAGGGTACAAAGGTAAACTTCATGGTGGTTGACGTGAGAAAATAAACCACTAAATTAGGAAGTCTTCCTAAAAACTAAGTAGACTAATAACTACTCATTAATTGATCATTCTCTATTAAATGCTTTTGAATTCCTTTGCGTTTAGCATTCTGTAGCACAAAACTCGGATAAATAATTTATAAAATCTTTATCTAAATTTGTGCATTAACTTTGACTCATAAGTAACAATTGTTGTTGCAATTTTATTGTGATTGAGATGCACATTTATTGCTAACATCATGCACTTCTTTAATAATTGAAGAAGAAAGTCATATATTATTAAATGTGCATTATTAAAAGAATATAGGTGCATTATGTTTAAAAGTATTGCAATTAGCTCGTGATGCACATTTTGTGTTAAAATGATGCAAATACACTATGCACAATTATTGATAACACCATGCACATCAACATCATCACAAGCTTTGTGTGATGAAATGTTATGTCTTCAAACCTACAAAGTGATGCATTCTACCCATAAAATTGCACATTATTATTTAATATTCTCAATAACATTCTCATGTAGGGCTTAATAATGCAAATTTATCCGCATGCATGTGTACTGTAAAATGGTGCACTATCATATGTGCTATGATGCTAATATGATTTCTGAAGTGCATTCAAAATTAGGAATTATGCACAACGGGATCTTCCCAGTGCATTCAAAACTAAGAATTGTGCATAAAAGTCATCTCCCTTGAATATTGTGTGATTAAGAGGAAATTCAAGTTTGTGAAAACATACTAAAATCGAGGGAGAAACCATTTTTCATTGTTATAGAAATCAAGGAAAGAAAGAAAAAGGAAATAAGAATGCCAAAAGTTTTTATGA